GCATGGCCACCCGAATCACGACACGGGTCTCTCACGATGGGTGCGGAACCCTTCAGACCGAACCGGATCTGCGCCTAAGGGCGGTTTTTTTCTGTGAACATGGTCGGCCCTCGCTGGGAGAGCTTTCTTGCAGTGTGAAGTGTTGTGTTTCTGGTCGAGCTTTAAATCTGCCTGATCTCAATAGTGGAGGGGGCTGTGGATCTGAATAAGAGAAACTGGAATGAATCGCACTCTGGTTTTCGGTGGACGAATTCTGAGCCAGCAGCATGTGCACGATGTAGCAATGTAGCACCGTCAGATCCCGGCTTCGATCATTGAGTGCGGCATTCAATTACACAGTGCAAGCCACCCACATGTGCCAGTCTGACTGAACGCATGCACTCGTTGAACTGACACACGTGAATTTACCACTGCCGTATGGCCGCATGAGTTAACTATCCAATCAGCTTAAAAAGAACTATCCAATCGGATTGCAGAATGGTCTGAACAATTGGCCAATCTGATTATAGAATTCATCTGATTGGAGAACTCTCCAATCTGGTTCAACAATTATCCAATCTCCTAATCGGATTGGAGAGTTCTGCAATCTGATTGGAAGATTCTCCCATGTGTTCCTCACGCAATTTTATCCATCGAAATGCTTAATTTCCAAAAAAAGGCTCTGAAACTCCCATCTAGGCAAGCCCATTCTCCAACACCCCAAACAATCTGATTGGAATATTCTTCAACTGACTGATTGAGGAATTCTCCAATCTTATAGGATAATTTTCCCCCAATCTGCTTGGAGAATTCTCCAATCCCCAATCTGATTGACACAGGAAGACAGCACCGCACCTGTGACGAGGATCGCAGGAGAGCATTCGAAGATAACCCAAGCTGACCATCAGCGACTTTCAGTTTTCCTCTGCAGAACGTATTCAAACGAGATGCTTATGAACGCAGGGACCGACAGCGACTGGCGCGCTCCTCTCGCGGTGTACATCAAGAGCAAAAGCGAGACCAATAAAGTCAGCAACCAGCGCATGAAGGAATGGAAGGCTTGCAGCAAGCAGGATTGCAACAGGTACAGCTACCACAAAGGCTTTTCCACCCTTCCAGTTGGAAGGACTACAGTGACTACAGCAAAAACTGGCAAGGAGATTCATCGGAGAGTTACAGCAAGAACTAAGAATCCACCAGCGTGCAGCAACAACCATGATCAGCTTCCTCAAGCTAGGATCAGCTTCCTCAAGCTAGGATCAGCTTCCTCAAGCTAGGATCAGCTTCCTCAAGCTAGGATCAGCTTCCTCAAGCTAGGACCCATGCCTCGCAAGACTCTGACTCTTTGGACTTCAGCGTCAAGACTGTTCCGATTGCGAGATCAACTTCGGCCGTAAGGATACATTTTCTGGAAGTGAGTGAATCGATAGTTTCGCAGGACACATCAGTCCTCATCCTTTCCTAGCACGTGTATCTTCACGCCAAAGTGTGGCCGGGCGGGTGGGTTTTCGGGTACCATTTTTTGGTCCAAGGAAAAAATATGGAAAACCCACCGCTTTGGGCCATGTTGGTTTTTCAGGTCAGTGTGTTTTGCGAACCACAAGAACTTTCGGGTGGGGCTTTGGTGACGTCCCATGGCCATTCTATGTCGATGTCAATGGTGAGCACGCAACCGCTAACAATACCAAAAAGTAAGACACCTGGTTGCCCCTTCTGGTAGCTGGAGTTTATGCGCTCGAACAAGCAACACGAAGGTCACAATTTAGGCTTTGGCGGTAAAACACCGAAACTGAAGCAAAAGCGACAGTTTCCAACAGATCTAACGGCTGAATTCGGATCAACCAAACACCGGTCATGGTAGAATCAAGCTGCAGCAACTAGGAGTGAAAACTGTTTGAAGAGTGGTTGTCATGTAAGCGGTGCTTGACCCGCTGACTGTTAATTCTATCAAGGCTACCAAGCTTGATGCATATCATTTGGTTCGTGGATGGTTAGACAGCTCAAATCACCTGCATGTCTGAGTCTAAGTGCCGTCAAATGCAGGCGGGACGAATGCCTCACGTTTCCCTCGATGATTTGTTTGAGCTATGCAAAACGCTCCCTCGTCTCACCTCGCCTAACACGGACTCATTTTCCAACATGGCGCTACAAGGAAAACCTGAAGTGAGGCACCTTCACCATGGTGAGCTAGCTCGTCAGCCCCGAATCGGTTTGCAACTTGCCCATGTTGTTTCTTCTTATCTGCTTACCGTCACAGTCCCAGAACAGCGTAGTCAACGTAATTCTGGCCATCTAAAATGAACTTTGGCCCAACGTCAAGACGCCAAACGACGTTGCGTCGGAGGGCTCCGAATCTCGATATTTGCGCCTGGGGGATGAAGCAAAGGCTCAAGCCATTTGCAGCTCTCGTAGGCTGATTGAACAATTCGTCACATTTTCTCACGGTCCTCGTCTGAGATTTACGAGTCATGCTGGCCCTCTTTCCACGTCTGAGACCAAAGAACAACATAAAAAATGAATCCACAAGACTCCTAATAATCTCCCGAATACTTTCTCAACAAATGCATCCACAATGGCCCTAAAGAAGAGGGCCAGCGGTGCACCCGGTTCAGCATTTCCGCGCCGCTGCTTTGCGCCTAGGGACACGATCCCTACCTTCTAATGGATTCGAACTACGCCACATAGGAAATCCGTGTCTTGGTGAGTCCCCTGTGTTTTGGCTTGAGACGGGTGACCGGCAAAGTTGACCAAACCGCAGTTCCATGTAGCCAGCCTCGCCAGAAAAGGGAAAGTCCCAGTGATTGCAGTTGAGGGTTCCGTCAAAAAACAACCACAAAACAGCTACTGAGCACAAAAGACAAGCCCATTCACCTGCAGGAATGGTAGCTGAGGACAATGGCTTATCTGATAAGTGGGATCCAGCGAGAGTGGCATCTTGGAGGATGTTGAAGGTAGCAACAAACACAACCAAGTCGAGTATGACTTCCTTGGGGCTTCCCAGACTTTGAGCAAACACCTCCTTCTGCGCAGCCATCAGCAAAGCGTCTCAGTCGCTGAAGGAATATTCGGTCTAAACACGGGCAGGCTTCCGACCCCATAACAGCCAAGTTGGGAACTCACTTGGCCCTCCAGATTCCTGAAGCAAGCAGACGGGGGAAGTTAAATTAAAAGCTATGATTGGAATGCATGGTCCAAATTATCGGGAAACTGATATCAACACCGGTTGGACAAAATTCCCATTTCACACCATATGGGTAGGAAGTTGATTCAAGTATTCATAGGACTTGATCCATCCCAAAGTGGTGTAATGTTGGAGAGTGATTAATAAAGGCCCCCCCCCCCTCAAACGAATTGGAGAGGGGGGGTCAATAGCGAGCACCCCAAAAACAAAATGGGGGTCAGACTGGGACCTGCCTGAGTAGTTTTCCAGTAAGTATTGTTTAGAATTGGTTTAGTATTGGTTTAGTATTCTTTTCAGTTGACTCACTACAGTTTAGAATTGGTTTAGTATTGGTTCTTCTTCTTGGCAGGCTGCCCTGCCATTTTTTTTCACAATTCCCTACCCTTAAACAAACTGCATTATTGCCTTCTTGGGGGTTCCGTGTGCCACCCCCTTGAGAATTTGTCAGGGTGCATCTTTTAGTAAAGGGATTGATAAGGAATTTTGCGGTTTTGGGACAGGAAGCAATCAAAAGATTCTGGACTGTTCTGGCTTTGTCTGAGAACAGCAGGGCTTTCTTCTTGGCAGGCTGCCCTAGCATTTTTCTTCACAATTCCCTACCCTTAAACAAACTGCATTATTGCCTTCCTGGGGGTTCCGTGTGCCACCCCCTTGAAAATTTGTCAGGGTGCATCTTCTAGTAAAGGGATTGATAAGGAATTTGGTGGTTTGGGACAGGAAGCAATCCAGAAATTCTGGACATTTCTGGCTGGACTCAAACGTTTCAACCCTCAAAAATAGTCCATTCTTGGAAGGTTACATATTTTCGGCATTTCGGGCTGATTTTTTCTGTAATACCTACCCTTTTTGCTTTTCAGGAGAGTGAATCATTTTGAGATGTTTTGTCTGTATTCACTCCCGTTTTATGAATCGCTATCTAACATTAGCGATTTGTCCATCCACAACGTGTCCCTTCTTGTTTGGCGGGTCCCTTGAACCTCTACCTTGGTCAAAGTTCAAGCTCAAACCCGGGTCCCAGCGGCGTTTCTCCCATGCCCAAAATCCCACAGTCCAAAAAAGCAGTGGTTGGAGGTGCTGGCAGGAAATTTGAACTTTAGTCCATCATACTGGATTTCCCTAAACAAAGGGCATCCTTGTATGGTTGGTTGAGAAAAAGGGCATCTCCTTCACCAAAACAAAGGCCAAACAAATAAGGGGCGGGGAATCCCTGGTTGCACCTGGGGTGTAAAGATGGCAAAGGATAGTCCCAAAGCGAATCGAACACATCGGGCTCTTTGAATTCAACTCGACCCCGTCGACTCGGGCCCGCGCTAGGCTTCAGAGCTGCGCTGGCCTGATCAAACGGGACTTCTTGTCCAGACTGAGACCCCCTGCCAAAAGCAAAACTGTAAAAAGGGGAGCAGTAAATAAGAGCAAAGCAAAACGGCAAAAAAAAGGGGAAACAGTGAATCAACAAGACAAACGGGCAGGCGGGTTAATTGAGTCTGGAGATGCATAATTGTATGATGGCATATGCTGGTGGGAAATAGGATGTCTCCCTTCTTCATCAGTAAATGGCCAACAACACTCCCTGATCTGGTCAACCGATCCTCGTCAAAAGCTCTGAGAACGAGTGATACTCCACCTGCTTCATCATACCATACGGCCCAAATCAAACAATCCTTTCACTACGCATCAGAGACTGAACTAAGAATAAATTTGCAGGCACAACTTCGCGGCGGCTTCTGCCCAACAAGAGATTACTCAACTTGGCATTCCTGCGGCTCGGACTTGTTTCACTCGCAGTCGTCTCGGCGGCTGCAAGGGGCGTGGTGGGATGCGACGCCACGCAGGTTCTCGTTCATATGAAGGTAAAGGTCTCCTCGGAATCAGGCCCCTGGTGGTGCCATGTCCACCCTACTCAGACTCAAGCAAAGAATGCCTGGACACGATGAACAGAAAAAGATATGAAATCGGATCATGATCCGAAGCATTTCAATTTCCCAAATCAATCAAGCTTCGGCGACGACCTCCACTGCTTTGCCATCCTCAAAGAGCGATCAGCACGAAAAGGTTCAAAAAGAAACAATCATTTTACAAGGCAGATTTGATAAGAAACAGAAATTCACAGGAGCAAGCATGGTCTTACCGATCCATTTGAGACCAACACCTCACCTGATAAAGCCCCCAAACAACCAACAAATCAACCATGGCTACCAATCTGACCAACCGGCTTCCAAATTAAGAAGCGCAAAAGAACAACGACCAACGACTCCAACGTACACCAAGCATCTTCCAGCTTTGGAATCTGCTGCTTCAGCTGTTCCCAGAGTCGTACCGAGAGGCTTTCCGTGCTGTCGGGCCTTAGGGCTAAGAAGGCGCTGAGCAGGAAAGGCAACGCCAAGGCGAAGCGACTCAACCTGGGCAAAGAGAGGCGTTGCGATGATTTCAAGTGCTGCGCGTTGCGTGGAGAAACTCATTGTTGTTCGTTAAGAGAACACCAATCTTCGCTCAGAAGGCACCGGAAGACGTTTTTGTAGGAAACATAACTGCATGCGTGACCTTCTTAAACATATCTTCTTGAACACGGCTTCCTACTGCTTTGAAGCTTCGAGCGCAAACAAGCGTCAACAAGGGCATTTCCGATGCCTCATTCCTCACTTTTCCTCTGCCCGCAATGCGCCGGAGATCATGTGTTGCAAAACAAAAGCAAAGACCTGTTTACACAACTCAAGTTAGCGAGTACATCTTCAAGCTGTCTCACCCTTCCAGCTTCCCAAGCAATGAACCCGGGCACCTTTCCTGAGCCTCAGAGCCATCAAGGCCCCGGAAAGATGTCCAACCTCTCAGTGCCGAGTCTACGGTGCGAGCAAAAACTGCCAAGGAACCAAGCCATTTGAAAGCTGAAGCTCACCGACGCCAGAGCCAAGCACAAAAAGCAGCAGCATTGGAGAGCGTTGATCTCCAGGGGTTGAACATGCAAAGTTCAAAATGAACAGGAAACTCTCTTGAGAACAAAACGTCATGAATTTGGTATTGTGACTTTGGGGGTCATGTTTGAACGGTTGCAGCATGTTGACTAGCAGGTTGCTTTCTGGCCTGTGGCTGCAAAAATGGCTGCACCATTCCGCTTGTTGCAGCCATCAGCAAAGTGATTGCGACTGACAGCTGCAAGCCATCTTCACTGCCTGCCACTGACACCAGCGCAATGGCGGCACCTTTCTGCAGGATTTCCATGTACACATTTCGGCAATGAGTGTACTTGAGGAAGATGTCCCTGGAGCCTGCCAAGACTCGCTCTTGGCTTTCCTCCACGAGGCACCGGTCCATCATGGCTTCAGCAAGTTCTCGGCTCTGCAAGGAGCTATCGCGAACTTTGGCAGTCAGACTGATCGCAGAGGCGCTTTGAAGCTCATTGGTTCGAAAGGAATGACCTTATTCACTCATCAATTGAGCGGTGATCAAAATCAGTAGGCCAAATTGCGATGATATCATTTGGCGCTTCCGCGTGCTTCCGCGCGCTTCCGCGCTGCGGGCGTTTGCTTCCGCGCTCTCATTTCCCTTCCGCGGCTTCCGCGGCTTGCGTCTCTTTCTTGCCAAGCCAACACAACTAGATCCACGAGAAGATGAGGCCAGATCGGCCCATGGCTTTGGATTGGACGCTAGAAACAGGTAAGTGAAACAGCCATGCTGGGGAAGCCCTGAAGAGATTGCGAGCCTGTGCTTGGGACATCCTTGTGCAACGTGGAGCCATCCAGTTTCTGTTACGAGCAGTAGACGGCTGTAGCAAATGGTTTATGGGTCACGACGAGCCCTGAAACGCGAATCCCAATAGATTTGCAACGCAAACGTGAAGCCTCACGACACACCGCGGCTACGATTCCCGCACAGGGCCAACGAGAACAACACATCGCATCGCACACAAGTCATCCAAATCACGGAACCCTTCCGCGGTCCTTCCGCGCCCTTCCTCCAGTGTTCCGCGAATTCAGCCCAACATCAATCTCCACGCATGTAAGGCCCGGGGTTTAAAAAAAGATTTGTTTAGCCCCAACAAATCGTTTTTAAGCCCCGGGAGCAAAAACGATTTGTTGGGCCCGATCAAATCATTTTTAAGCCCCGGGAGAAAAAAACAATTTGTTGGGCCCGAACAAATCGTTTTTCACCCCCGGGAGCAAAAACGATTTGTTTGGCCAGAACAAATCGTTTTTAAGCCCCGGGAGCAAAAAAGGATTGGTTTAGCCCAAACACATTGTTTTTAAGCCCCGGGAGCAAGAACGATTTGTTTGACAAATCGTTTTTCAGCCCCGGGAGCGAAAACGATTTGTTTAGCCCGAACAAATCGTTCTTAAGCCCCGGGAGCAAAAACGATTTGTCTAGCCCGAACAAATCGTTATTAAGCCCCGGGAGCAAAAACGATTTGTTGGGCCCGAACAAATCGTTTTTCACCCCCGGGAGCAAAAACGATTTGTTGGGCCCGAACAAATCGTTTTTTAGCCCCGGGAGCAAAAACGATTTGTTGGAGCAAAAACGATTTGTTGGGCCCGAACAAATCGTTTTTCAGCCCTGGGAGCAAAAAACGATTTACCCCGGGAGCAAAAACGATTTGTTGGGCCCGAACAAATCGTTTTTCAGCCTCGGGAGCAAAAACGATTTGTTGGGCCCGAACAAATCGTTTTTCAGCCCCGGGAGCAAAAACGATTTGTTAAAAACGATTTGTTGGGCCCGAACAAATCGTTTTTCAGCCCCGGGACCAAAACCGATTTGTTGGGCCCGAACAAATCGTTTTTTGGCCCTGGCTGCTTCGCTTTGATTGAAAAGTAAATGTCGGCCCAGCCAGCCCTTTCCAAGATGCGTGGTGACTCGGGAAAATGGGGCCATTCTACTACGCGCAAAGTCTCGGAGCTCGAGACCTCCCCCGGGCTCTGCTAGCAAAGTTGTGCCTCTTGCGGCGTGACGGCTAAAACAGATTGTGAAGCCACTTGCAAGCCCGGGGTGCGGAAACGATGCCCGAACAAATCGTTTTTAAGCCCCGGGAGCAAAACCGGGAGCAAAAACGATTTGTGGGGCCTGAACAAATCGCTTGAGAGCAAAATATTTCTACACGCTTTTGACGCTCCAAAAATGTCCCCCTTCCTCTGCGCAAATCTCTTAGTCAAGTCCGCCGGCCCTTCCGCAAGCTTCCGCGGCCTGCAGAAAACCTTCCGCGCGGATTGATTTCAGCGCTCCCTTACTTAAATTGCTTTGAGCATTTTTGATCGCTGCTCAATTGGCCCAACAAGCAAAATAATGAGAGCCAAACCAGTTCTCAACGCCATAGTAAAAAGACACTTGCGCACCTGCGATGGGCTTCACGATCACCGTGTTCTCCTTCAATTCCACACTCACACGACCTCGCATTAGTACGGAGATGTAGGCCGCAGCTGCTGCCACCAAACGCCGTGTGATCGCGGCACTCTTGAGAGTCAACTTTTCCTTGGCGCGGCAATGGCAATTTTCCGTCGAAGTCGTCTCAACTTGAGCATAAAGCATTCTGCTCCACAAGTGTGGAAACAAACAAGTCCTCATCTTGAAAGCTGAGCTCAAAGATTGCACATACGAACGCTTCATTCCCCCCCCCCCACACAACAGATTGTGGTTGAACACTTGTTCATGCGTCAGGGAGTTTCGCCATCTCTGTGCCAGCAAGTCACCGGTGAAGAGCTTGTTGTTTGCACCAGCCACACTTCCAAATCAGCATGGTCTGCTGCCCAAGCCACAGTCGCCTTGCCTGGTAGAAGCAGCAAGTGCTGCTTGGCATACAGGTATAAGAGGCATCCCGGAACCACAACTCCGTAGCAAAAGGCAGCGACCATGCCTGTCGCATCCACGTAGGGTCCAAGAGGATCATCATGGCAACGCAGGTGAGGAAGCGACTTTCGGAAAGTAAGCCTCGTGTGGAGCAACCTTAAGGATCATATCAAAAAAAGTTCCATCGAAACCAAGAAGACAGTCATGTTCTCACCGTGTCCACATGGCCACACTCTTTAGTTAGTCAACTCGGCCTGTACCCGACACTCGCCCTTCTGCCTGTAGACAGACCGTTAAAAAGCGATAAACAACTGCGACAAGGAACTCCTTCGGGAGGAGATTGCCTTCGCCGTCCGTTGTTTGGCAGCTTAACAGCTTTGATGCCGCGGACGCACCCCCAATGTACAACATCGTCAGCACCTGCAGCAAAACAACACGACAAACAACGCGAATGACCCTCCCAGGGTGCACACTTCAGTAGCAGCATGACCTCTGCTACAACTACTTGTTTTGTTGCCGGCACTGCTCTCTGGAAGGGACGGTATAGGCTGTCCAATCTTGCGGACACATTCGGGCAAAAGATGGCCTTTCTCGAAAAGCGAGGCCAATGACACGCCAACCTCAAGCAGAAGCTACGCAACCGCCCAATCTACAAACGCACCTTATAGGTGGAATGCAGCAGTGAAAGGCAAGGCTTATATGCCTAAGCCGGCAAACTACTGTTTTGCCCACGACCAGTGCTGCTTCAAAAAGGCATCTCCTTCCCGCAACTGACATGCTGGGCGGCCTGCGTTTGCGGATCCTGTGTCGTGAGACCTGCTAGCGGGCCTTTGGAATCTCAAGGCTTGCATTTGTGCATTGCGAGAGACCTGGCTTAGGGTTCTCCAGGTGTCTCTCACTACCATGCTCGAACCCTACATCAACGCAGTTGCTCGTATCGAAAATCAGGCAGGCCTTCAAACCAGCACTGATGCCAGATCCGTTGTAGACTTCCAAAGCAATGCAGCAAATCAGAAGCAAAATTGGAGTGACAGCAGCGATCAGGGCGGAGGCGAGCCGAACGGTCAAAGCGTCAAAACGGCATTGTAAGCTCAGGCCGTTCTTGAGGCTTGCAATTGAAAATTGCAAAACCTGGCCAGAGTCAAATTCAGAAAACACAACTTCCTAACTCTGTTTTCTTTTGCAAAGAACAAACAAGCCTTTGACCGCACTTGAAAACTGCAGATTGTGTTGAAAGGTGGGAACTACCTATATTCAGCACGGGCTGCAGCGTATTTTTCTTGAGCCATAGTATGATCATGACGGGATGCCACTCCTAAAGAACACTCCCCGCTTTGCGGAGGAGCGTTGGGGAGCACGTACTATGTACGCTATTCCTCCGGGCCTGTAGCAAAGTTCTCTGAGGTCGGGACAATGCGAAGGGATTGGACCTCAGTGCGATGAGTGGCAAGTCACGGTTAGACCTATTCATCCCCGGCTGCTTCAACTGCAATCGCTCGAAGCGGCTGACACAAGGTTGACTTTTTGCAGGAGCATGCCGGATGAGTTGGCCGACCACGACTTCTGTCGGGCTTCACACACGATGACCCGTGTGGACATTTGAAAATGAATTCATCTGCCATCAAAACGGTGGTGATCTCACGACCACAGCTTCCGCTGGGCAGAAAATGACATGACAGTCGGCGGTGGCGGCCGTGGATAGCAATACGGCCGCAGCTTCCGCCGGGCGTGCAAAACAGCACAGCTAATGTTGCGACATCAATGGATGAATGATAATTGGATTACAACATGACATCACCTATGAAATTAATCAGGTTTCATGCAACAAAAGCTATTGATTCATTTTAAATGCGGGTGCTCACCATCCCCATGGTCCCTGGCGCCTCTGACCCCACCCATGCGACCATCCATAGTTCCAGGAGTGCCAATCGGAGTATTCCTTGCCCTTGCCCTTGTTGTTTGTCTTGCCTTTTCCTTTGGTCTGGTAGGGCTCGGGTCGGATGGATCTCGCGATGGCCCTCCATTGGGTACCCTTGGCCTCGATGGGATAGCTCTTGGTGCGGTCAGAGGAGAATTGCGGGATTTCGCCTGTGCTGATTGTGCCTTGTGGGTCGAACTTTTTCCAAGACGCCTTGATGAAGCTCACCATCACTCCGAGGATCTGTTCGACGTTCCCTTCCGGGACGTATTGCCCACTGTGTCCGACAATGATCGGCACCTGGTTGGTCGGCACGAATCTGTAAGCGCACATAACCGCGAACTGCATCACGGTGTAGAACCGTGCGTGATGAGCAACGTACGCCTCCGTCGACACATTCAGCTCGTGAGGGTTGAGCTTCCCGGGGGTGGGGATGAAGACCAACTTCGTCCCCGTGTTCTGCGACCCCCCCTTGTCGCGCTCCTCCCTCGTCCGGCCAGGGTCCCCCACAACCGCCCGGGCAATGCGACCCAGAAAGTCCAAGCTCTCTGGGGTCAGCCCCTGGGTGGCGCAGTTGTAGGCGTAGAACGGGTCGATCGACAATCGATCCGAAATCCTCGTGCAGCCCATCGTCTGTGCCTTCGCGAGGTGGGTCTTGGCCATTTTCCTGAGCGATGCCTTGACGGAGATTCCTCCCCGCTTGTCTCCTTCCTTCGCATGGTGCTTGGATCGGATCCATTTGCCACCGCCCCCCTGAAGGTCCTCAAGATAGAACACCATGTTCTGGAGGGATGCCGTGCCTCACGACCTCGGTGGCGATCCTTGCATCTGTCCATTCCACCATGTCAGATCGACACTCTTGGCAGAGGAGATAGTCATCATCGTGGTGAAGAAGAGATCCTCCCAGGCCGGCTCGCTCTGGTAGCGTCGGCGGAGATTGCCCCAGCCGCGCCCCTGCCCCTTCTCCCCCCTGGAGAGTTCGGGTACCCGTCGAAGCGTTGCAGGCGCGATCTGTCCGGGTAGCGAGCTCGTCGACAGTTTCGATCTCAGTGACAGCACCGGGCAGCAGCTTGCCATCCTTGGTGCCGTCGACCACCTTCTGCCAACCTCTCCATGCCTTCTCTGCCGTCAGAGTGTTCTCGCTCTTGAAGAAGCTCGGGTTCACGTCCTGCGGTCCGGGAGTGAGCTCCGCCGTCAGCGCCGCGCGGTATCTCTTGCGCAACTCCGGGTAGGCCCGGTTGAAATACAGGAACTCGTTCTTCCTGGTGTGGAATGCATAAATGATGTATGCGTTCCCCACCCAGTCAGCAGACATGAATGCTTCGTCGCTGGTGAACAACCTGATGCCGTCCTGCATCATGAGTTCCGTGTCAAATGCAACCGTGACGGGCCTTCCGTGCGTTCCCGCTAGCTTTCGCATCTGGGCCTCCCATGGCGGTGTCGGGTTGAAATACACATGGGCCCTGCCTGTGGACTTCGGGTAACCGCCCGGTATGTATACCAGCCCGTACTTGATGATGCTCTCTGCGGATCTCAGATCACATGTGTGATAAAGTACCGCAGGAAAGCCGCGCCGCAACAAGTCAAGTCGGTCTGCTCTGGATGCCGCACAGCAAGGGGTACTGTCCGCCCAGGTATTTCGCGGCATTGAACTCTTCATCGAAGGAGTACAGGTTCGTCAAAATGGCCTGTTCCGTGTACTTCCTTGTGAGCTCGTTGTGATGCCCCTGGACAGCCCTCACCCTCAACGCCTGATACGGCAATCCTTTCCAGGATGCTTCTCCCACCGGCGGTGGGCCCACCATGACCCGGAATCGCCTCGTGTTATTGTTCCGGATGCATACCATGACCTCCCACGGCATGACATTTGCAATCCGGTCATTGAGATGCCTCACAAGCGCATCAAACTCAACAGAGAGGTCGATCCCGCGAAAGGGTGGGTGTGGCTTGCCATCCTTGAATGCCCCACCCCTGAGAAAGTAAGACATCTTTTTGGAGATGGCAACCAACCTGTAGTCCCGGTCCATGTTCACCTTGGGGACGTGCCCCATGTCCTCGACCTCGAGCCATTCGCATTGCTCTTCAGCCGGGACTTTGGTATTGATCTTCCGGGTCTTGACCCAGTCTGACCAAAAGATATTTTCCTGCATTGGGTCCCTTTGCTTCTTCGACCGGGGTTCCCCCTCGGCGTTGCCTGGCGGCGCTTTGGCCTTTGCGATCCTCGGCATCGCCTTCACCTGGGGCTTCTCGGTCGATCCTGCAGCAGTGGGGTCAGTCTCATCTCCGATCTCGATGGAAATGGACGACTGGGGTTCCCCCACAGCGCTCTTCGAAGCAGTTCCACGTTTTGACGGTGGCGGAGTCGGTGGCTGCTTGGATGTACTGGTGCCCTCAACCACGGATTCGAAGGTTGCAGACTCCGCGGTGACCATGGAAGTCATGTCTGCCATGTCGGATTCAGCGACTTCCGACACCAGCTCCAGCGAAGCGACCGTCTCTTGGTCGAAAGGGTCGCCCTCGGCGATGATGACGCGGTGGACTCCCGGAGGCAAGTTTGTCGGATCCCAGCCGAAGTCCTGGGTATCGTCGCCCAACAGGAGCCACTTGTTCTTGTCGTCGTCATCTGGCACAATCGACAAGCCGTGCTGCTCCGCCGTGTGGCCGATGTACTGAGACATCGCGATCTCCACGCGGTCGAACTCCTCGTCCGAATTCTCGTCGCCCTTATCGACTGCCTCGAGGATGATCCCGGCCTCCTCCACTGCCTTTCCTTTCATTTCAAGAGTCATAGCATTGTACGACTCGTCCTCCGCCACCTTCATCCATGCAGCGACATCGGCGTCAACCAGTCGGGACGTTCCTCCATGGCCGCGTGCTTGTGGAGGGCTTTTGCCAATCTTAGGCAAGTGGGCCAGCCGAACAAGACGGGGTCAACTGGCTCCCCCCGCACGTAGAACTCGACGCTCCCGATTGCAGGCAAGGCGGAGCGTATCCGCTGAGCCAGCAACTGAGTGTTGATAGCCGCATGCAAAAATTTCGACACAACCTTCCGGTTGGCATTGCTGTACGTCATGTGGACATCGTCGTACCTATGCGACAGCAACGTCATGACGGGTCGATTGAGTCGATTGCTTTGATGCGGGTCCCCTCGTCGATGGTCCCGTCAGCGAGGTACCGGAGACAGCCATTCATCGCCTCGTTGTAGTCGGAGGTGAGGCCGTAATCTTCTGCATCCGGGTTGCAAATGAAGGTGATATCCCGGATGCGCCCGAGCCCGACGGCCTCCTTAAAGAAGTCAAGCTGTTCATAGACGCGGGTCCTTTGCACCTTCGGCCACTCCGACGCGGCCTTCCGGCCCGCCTCCGTCCGATTGATCGAATCTCTTTTCGTGGATCCACCGGCAGCCCACATAGCCGTAATTGCCGAACACGTCATTGCCACCCCATAACACATACACGGATATGGGGAGCTGCTTGACGCCCTTTCGAGCATTGTCCTCGGCGATGAATCGAACCTTGGTTAGTGTTGTATATGGTATCGAGCCCCTTTCCCCAATCCATTCCCTGGTGGATATTCCGTACACCTTTGAGCTGGTCAGCCTGGAGCAGCTCGGCGACGTGGTGCTTGGTCGGGTACTTGGCGTTGGGCTCCTCAACCATCGCACACGATGAGTCTCCGATAACCTAGATATCGACCACCTCTTCCGAGGGGCATGGCAAAGCGCGAAACTCCGCTGGGGCATTCCGCCCTAGGACTTGGATCAAGTCCCAATAAGCCATTTCTGAGTTGCTCCCGGCTAGGGTTCCCCCCCAGCATCACTCCTGGTGCCTGTTCTTGCGATGCGATTGTCCTCGTTACCGTGTCCGGTTCCGGGATAGTCGCGATTGCCGCCTGCGTCTGAAACTGCTTCATCAGCTTGTCCCACTTGGTCTGTTGGATGTCCAGCTCCTTCTCCAATACATCGTTGAGAAGGATGTCAACCGATGGCGCGAGGGACGACATCTTGACAGCAATAGTTACGGATAACACTCGGGAAGTGACTGAAAGCGAAAAAGCTGCGTGGATCGCATCGATAAATTTGAAGGTATAGTTTTTCGGTGTTCTTTAGTGATTGGCCTCTACCTTGTGCATGGGGTGAAGTACAACGGCATTTGAACTTAGACAGTGTGTTTCCCAGCAGCTTGACATTAGTAGCAACGGACCAAGGCTTCTT